GAAGCAAAGCATGATGGATATACGCAGAGTGTGATAGATGCACTACGTGAACAGAGTGTGATTGATACACAAGGTGAACACAAAGTGTGATAGTTTATGACCAAGTCCAAAACAGCTCACAAATAGACCTAAAATATCATGCAAAAATAGGCCTAAAAGAGAGATTAAACACAAAGGGGGAGGAGGAGACCTCAAACAGCAAGAGGTCCTTGATCAAACATGAAAAGGAGCTCAAAATATGACTATTTACAGTTCAGGTCGGAGCCCAAAAATGTAAGTAACAAAGGCTAAGATATAGAACAAAATAAGGCAAGAAAGAGGGAGAAGAGGACTCACCCTTGTAGCACAAGTCTTCAGCAGCTTTTGGACCAAGGAAAGGTGCTCCTAACCTCTGAAAAACCGCCTCAAGTTTTTGGAATGGAGTGTGGAGGTTGTAGGCTTGGAGGTGGTGTGTAAATGGCCAAGGATGATGGACTTTAGAGCTTGGAAGGGAGAGCTATGGAGGGAGATAGTTGTGTGCCTTAGCAAAAATCTCTAACCCTTGAAAATGGAGGTGAATGGCTTCCTTTATAGAGCCAAGAGACTAAAGCTTCTCTTAGAAGCTTCAAACCAAGAGCAAAGATCCTTCATATATATGGAGGATCCAGTCTGTGCCCTCCAGCTGGCACAGCTGGTATCCACTCAATCTGTAGAATACTCCGGAAGGTCGTCGGCCAGCAAAATTGGTCGGTCGGCTATTTTAAATGGTCGGTCGGCCATCTATTTGGCCGGTCGGCTAAATTGATGGCCGGTGGTGGCTGTCAAGGCCAAAAAGTGGCTGGTGGGTGTCCAGATTAAAGCCCTAAAAGTTAGCTTTCCAATGGCGCAAACCTTGCATTAAAATTCCTCCTGTGCAAAAAGTTATTCCCTTTTTGGTGAAGCCGCGCAGATTTGGTCCAACCGGAGTGATGCCCTACTTCAATCAACCATATCTCCCCCACCCGGAGTTGGCTTTAGGAGATTCTTGAGTGCAAAATGAAGCCTCGGAAGTAAGCTTTTCAACGGTGGTGGCCTCATAGCTAAAATCCAAGTATGCAAATGAATAAGCCCGATTTAGCGAGGGCTGCTCAACTCTCTCTTACCCGGATTCATGTCGAATTTCTCCCAAACTAGTTTTCTCCTCTCCTTTCCTCTTTTCTTCAACTCCAAACCCCTAAACAAAGTGTTTTGAAAGATTTTTTCAAAGATTTCATCTCTCTTTCATTCATCTCCAATTTGTCCTTGCCCGGTTTACCGAAGAGCGCAACATTTATCGAAATGTGAGCGTCGGAACATCGTAGGAATTTTATTTTCAAAACATTTTCAAAGAGAGGATTTTAAGATCTAAAATCTTTTGATCAAGATTGTTTTGGTCCAAAAGGGGTGTGAAGTTGGGATTTGACTCTTTCATTGCTGACGAATTTGAACCTTTGCCCTGCACACCTTTTACCACCAAGTAAACCATCAGTAACGCCCAAGTCTTAAGGGCGGTCAAAAATGGGGTGTCTACAGTTGTCAATGGCATTCATCAAGGCAAGTTCTCTGTTTGTGACAATGACTTCAAGTAAAATATTGTTGTCCATAAGATCAAGCAATGTTTGTAACGCCCATGCATAATTATCAACCCACTCAGCTTGCAAGTATGTGAAAGCCACAGAGAATGTCATTTGAGTTGATGTCACTCGCACAATTTCAAGAAGAGAAAGTTGATTTCTATTTGTTTTATATGTGTAGTCCACAATCAACACACAAGAGAATGTACTAAGCAAATCCAAGCTCACTAGATATGCCCAAAACAAGTCTGCGACAGTCATAGAGCCTTCCTCACATCAATGACACTCAATGTACTTATGTTTTGTTAATTCACCCAGTAGTTGTTACATCTGGGATCTACCAGTTTTTTATAGAACCCTACATCGATGTCATACATTGTAAATTGTCTTCATTGTGCTCATATTAAGGGCATCCCTCTGTTTGAGTGTAATGAGTATCTCTTTTGGTCTTATCAGGCTCTTTGACATGTCTACTAATAGTGACTTCTCATTAGCTGACAATCTCCCTACAAATGAATGTCCTTACAGATGCTCCGCAACTGGATGATTATGCAATCCACAAACTACATTCAATGTCCATTCATCATTTGTTTTCAACTTGTATGCCCTTAAATCAAATGGACATTTGCGCTTCTTTGTACCAGTTTGTCTCAAAAAGTTTTTCGAGCCATCTTTCAACTTGTTACGCGATCTATACTTGCCACTCCACTCACAAGTAAAATAAATTCTTGGTCTCTTGCGACCGCCACCATAATCCGACGACTTTATAATAATAACAAAACCATTGGTCCTTCCAGTATCACGTACCCAAATAAGCAATTCATTTTTATTGTCGAAACCTTGTATATAATGTCATACAACTTTTATAAGAATAAACTAAACAAACTAACTAATAAAAATTATCAACTTACGAAATTCATGTTAAACATTTCCTGATTTGCTGTGAAATGATTAGTACAATCTATCATAATATCAAATCGAACCTCAATTTGTTCAATGCATGCAATCTGAGAATGGGGAAAAAAATTTAAGTTGGCCATACAAAGCCGAATATAACAATACAATTCGGCACTTGATAACCGAAATAAATTAATAAATTCAATTTCCAAATATCGAAAAAAATAATAAAATTGGGTGTTCAAAAAATCGAATTAATATATTATTTTCAGACTTAAAGTGTCGAAATAAATTAAATAATTCAGCAGTTGATAACTGAATATAATGAAATAATTCGGCACTAGTTGTCCAAGTGAAAACCGTAAAAAGAAAAAAAAAATCTACACGAAAAATTGATCTTTTCATCACTGATTTTGCTGTCAGCAGACATATTTTTGCTTAAGTTTGAACTTCCATTGGTTTGCAACTCTTCCATAACAAAATCAAGCAAAAATTATGGAACTAATAAGAAAATGATATAAATAATAGAGTATAAATGTAAAGATTAAAGCAATATAAGAGTTGTTATGAGACTATTGTTTTGCAAACAATAGAGGAGTATAGAGTGTGTAACAAGCAAAGTGACAATAATAGAAAAACTAGAGTTTAGTTTTGTTTTGTTTTACTCAAAAGGTGTACATTGAGATTTTTTTTTTTTTTTTTTTTTTTGAAGATGTGTACATAAAATATTTTTATATAATATTATGGGTGTTGGTGGATGTCCATTATAGTTATTTTAGTTTAAGGTATAATTGCCATTAAAATAATATTTCATTAATTGTATGTACTGAAATAATTAGATATGTAAAAATAAAATTTCCCATAAATGTGTTGTGTAAGTACAATTTCATGTGAAATTTAAATGTTTATAAAGTATTATCATACTATGTTGGTTTTAGATTTAGTAAGGTAAGAAAATAAAAAATGAAAAATTCTTTACTTTCATTCGATTAAATTGAAAAGTCAAAAATGAATTGCTATTAATCAAAAAATCAATTCCTAACCAAAAAAAAAATAGAAGTGATTTTGAAGACGAGGATGGAGTAATATGATTGAAGGGATGACATGGAGATTTTAGTGTTAATGGGGTAGGTACGCGGTTGGTGCAAAAACCAGACAGACGAGGCGAAGGCAAACAAGGCATATATTACAATTACAGTGCAGTTTGGATCCATAAGTTTGGCTCCATTGTTATGGATATATGATGATCAGCCACTGGGAGTGTTTGGGGAGAAGTTTTTTTAATTTTTTGAACTAAAATAGTATTAAAAGATAAAATAGATTAAAATAGTCAATAAGATAAAATGTTATATCAAACTCATAATTATTTTATTTTTTCTCTCACATCAACATCCAACTATAAAAAATTCAACATTTTTCCCAAACAAAATAGTCAAAAACTAAAATAATCAACTTTTCAATTGCATTGCTTAGACAATTTCTAGATTTGGAGTACATGTAAAAAAATTATGAAAATTCATGCTCTCACATGTACATGTGAATCGATTCGGGTATTAGTATTCGATATAGGTACTTGTTCAAGTCATAAATTTTTATAAATTTAAATCTTAAAATATTAAGATTAGGATACGTATTTACGATATGACATATGTATATATATATTCATTAGACACACACATAATGTTATAAATCATGTAAAAATATACTTAAATTTGAATAAGATTTATATATATAGTGGGTTTTTGGGAAATGAATTTTTATGTAGGTTTTTTTTGTTGTAGGATATTATTGGAGAAAAAAAAATTTGTGTTTGGAAAGATAGTTAAATTTTTTTGTGATTGGATGTGATGTTTGTAAGAGAGAAAGTGAAATGATCATGGGATTAGATGTGATATTTTGTTCGGATGTGTTTTTTTTTTGTTTTGCAAAAAGTATGTCTATTTGTAAAAAAAATCAAAAAAAACCCAAGTTCCAAACTTCCCAACCACCACCTAATCTTTCATCTATGTTAGAAGTTACAAGTACTGTTTTTTTAGTAAAAGTGAGTTTTCTTATTCTTTAAACATTGCAAAAAATCAAAAGATCAAGTGATTAAATTGAGTATGTGTCGAAAACGTTGTCCATACCCTTATATCACTGTATACCTGGTAAACAAGATTACTTTGGAGAAATAGTTCATGCCTAACATGTAGTATGTACTAACAGTAGAACCATGCACATTAAAAATTAGGAGTAGTTGCTGCCAGTCTCTCTTCCTTTTCTTACTTCTTACCCACCAAACAAATATAAACTTGAAATTTATTCAAAATTCCCCGGATAACTATGGCAACCATTGTTGTGTGTTAAGTTAGACTGCAGTACAGAAAAGCTAAAAGTACTTCTCAAAAGATCAGGGCAATGAAAAACATTTGTTAGAGATTCCAATCAATCATCAGACCTAAACAAATTAGCCAATGTATGTCATTAATTGATCCTTGAAGAGTAAGCCATTCAATGGTTTGTCTTACAAAATCCTCATCCCAGCACGATGAGTTTAAATCTTACCAATTGCCGGAAGAACATAACTTTTTTGGCTCAAATACGGTACAATATTACAGAGTCAAGTGTCATTTTCTTTGTTGACAATTTCTGGTTTACAGCAAACAATGCATAACAAAAACTAACCTAACCTCACTACTATTTAATGTTTAAGTAATAAAAGCAACACAATTAAATAAATAAATAAATAAAACAAAACAAAACAAAATTTTAAAAGAAAAATTATGAAAAGAAAGTACTTCTAAAGCTTATTATAGAAAACAGAGGCAAAACCAATGGCAATGGCAATGGCAATGGCTTGCAATAACAGAAAAGGGACAATTTTATACTATATGTACAGTGTAGACATAAAAACCTCACACTTAAAAAAAGCAACTGGTCGCCCACCCAAACCAACACCCCCCCACCCCGCTCACTCATAAGTAGGATATGTTCAATGCCAAGTTGATGAACAGAGAAACCAGTACTACTATTCAGCTACATCCACTCAACCAAAGTTTTATTCTGTTGCTTATGCCTTTGCACATAAGAAGTTACTTGCTAGAAAAGAAAAGGAGGGTCATCTAACCCGCTAAGATGAGGATGCTCCGATATCAAAGGGCAAGTGATCTGACCTCATCTGCTTTCCAGAGCCCTTCTTCGTACTTGTACCACCTCATAAGCCCTTCATCATTTCTAGCCCGCTGACACATAATGCACGAGTCATCCATGCACGTGTAAAACTCACGTAACCTAGAAGCCTTCTCAAGAATTGATTCATCAAGCTCCCTAACAATTCTTCTCGCTGCAGGAGGTGGAGGGACTTCGATAAGGAGGCAATGCGAGATATTTAGCACCTCTAAGTTTGGTAAGCCATCCAAGATAGTGATCAGAGCATCCCTCCAGATTGTTGAGCACCGGAGGCTTAAAACCTTTAAGGTTGGAAGAAAAGTAACTAATGTAGACGCAAAGAAAATGTCACAAGGACCCATGATCTTGAGTTCGGAAAAGTTCTTGCAGTTCTGCGCAATTTCTTCCATCAGGTATGGGGGATTTGCTATGCTCGGCATAGTCAGCGACTCCAAATCTTTCCACATGCGGATCGCCCTGCATATTCCAGTCTTTTTTATTCGGTTCCAAGCTGGCATAACAAGTCGTTTTAGCCTTGGGCACCTGCAACAAAGGGATTTATTTTTAAGGAAAAAGTCACATACAAGGAGTTATTCCTTTGCCATTCCTTATTTTTATTTTTAATTTTCAGCAGATGGTGGGAGCTAAGATTCTCATACACGTCTACTTGTATTAATGCATGCTACTATATTTTGGTAATGACAAAAAGAACCCAATGCTAACTGCAGTCATCCCTATAATGTCATTACAATGGATAACATGTCAAAGCAACCAGGTAGTACATAATAAGATTTACTGTTTATTTAGGATGGATAGAAAAAAAAGTTCAAGGCAATGCTTATGTTGTGTGATTCCATTATATAACAACAAAAGCCATGTTATCCTGCATTTGAGCAGATTATGGCAACTTCAATTTTGACTAAAAATAATGCACGGAATCAATCAAAAGTTGTTCTTCTGTTGTACAAATTCTTGGTAATTATTGCCTATACAAAATTTGGAAAACCTTATCAACTACAGCCACATGTATTCCCACTCAAACAAATGACAAATTGAACCCCATCCCAATTTTGAGTATCCATTCCAAAATGCTATTCCTCTAAAATTAATCAATACTCACTACTACTTTAATATGCATATCAAAGACACATTTTATCAAAATGATTTCCAGGTTGCAGGGGACATCATGTTCTCCTGTGGGATATAAACAACATTAATCTCAACCTCAGAAAAAGGTAGAGATATTTTGGGACCTAAAGTGAAGCAGTTATGTAGTCCAAGATCTAGTATATATATACATATGATGCCATGGAATATAAAATTTGTTATAAAGCCAGACAAGCTACTGATTTCTTTGACATACCTTTCTGCGGTATAAGTCAACTGATCATCGCTGACATAGAGATTGAAATGGAAAATTAGCGTTAGTATGCTTCCCCTGCTTAGATTCAAAGCAATCTTCAAGACTCGCGTTAAAGTTTTATCAGACCGACCGTCCACATAAACATATGGCTCTAACGGGATTTTAATGAAGTTAGACTTCAACATTGATAAGTCAAGAGTTCTCCACAGCAGGGGATCGCAAGCGGCCAAACGCCACGTGCTACAAACTTGACCAATGCCAGCAGTTAACTCAAAGATATCGAAAGACTGGACTATCTTCACGAGTATATCAATGTCCATGTCCTCCCATTTTCTCACAATTAATGCACCGTCTTCCATTTAACAACCTTGCCAAATATTTCTAAAGAGGTCTATTGCATCATATTGCCTACATAAATAAGAAAAAGTAATCAATAAGAAAAGTAATCACTTATTCTTGCAGTCTTAATTATCAATTACTTTTAGTGACATAGAATCTAGGATCCATAATTAACTCATGATTGCATATTTTTAGATGCAGATAATAAACCTTTCAATGCTTTCATATACATCATCTGACAAATCTAAGACCATAGTTTGTGAAATTGGGTATATCGTAGAAAGTTTGTTCTACAGAAAGACCCTGATGGGTAAACAAACATCTAAACAACACATTCTCAGATATTAGGTTCCAACAAGTAGCAGGTCCAACAAGAATGTAACCCGCACTGAAGGAATTTCTGAAATTGGTATCTATAATTTACATGGCCAAAGCTTTTAAAGGCGGAAGCACAAGGCGAAGCATTTTACTCCTGATTAGGTGAGGCGTTGGGGCATAAGCCTTTTGAATTTTTTTTTTTTATAAAATTTAAAATTAAATAAATATAGAATAAAAAGAGAATAAAAAACAATGAATAACCAAACCAGACCAAATCGAACAAAGCCTTGAGTCCATCAAATGGGGTCAGCTACATGAATCTTTCTTCTCCACTCGACTTTATCAAAAGTTGGTCAAATTAAGGAGATTTATATCTCTATTTACTAAACTAGCTCACATCAATCTAGGTCTACCCCTTCTCCTAACATTTCCCTCTACCGTCACACTATCGCATCTCTTCACTACTGTCTATGTTGGTCTCTATTATATATGATCAAACCATCTCAATCTATTCTCTCTCAGCTTATCTTCTATCGGTGCTACTCTTACCCATTCACGAATATAATAATTCCTAACTCTGTCTTTTCTAGTCTTGCCACACATTCACCTTAACATTCTTATCTCAACAAACACTCATTTTATCTACATATTATTTCTTATTTGCCCAACATTCCGTCCCATACAACATCGCTGGTTTAATAGTATAGAACTATTCTTTTAATCTAGTGGGTACTTGTTTATCGCACGGTACCCCAAACGCACTCCTCCACTTAAGCCACCCGAACTTAAATCTATGGATTACATCTACTCCAATCTTCCTAGCCGTTGTGATAATCGATCCTAAATAACCAAAATGTTCACTCTTAAGTAGCTCTTGGTTCTCAGTCTTCACTTCTCCTCTGTTTTCATTGTGACTATTGCTAAAATTACACTCCATGTACTCTATCTTAGTTCTGCTTATCCTAAATCCTTTATATTCACGTGTTTCTCTCCAAGTCTCCAACTTAGTGTTAACTCATTCTCTATTCTCATCCACTAACAAGATGTCACCTGCAAAAAGCATACACCATGGCACATCATCCTGAACATTTTTCAACTCATCCATAGCTAAAGCAAAAAGATAAGAACTTAAGGTTGATCCTTGGTGCAACTCCACAATAATTAAAAATTCACTTGTCTCTCTAGTCAGCTATCTAATAGTGGTCACCACACCTTCATACCTATCCCTAATCACATCAATGTAGCCTTTTGTCACCCCTTTCTTTTCTAACACCCACCAAATTATATCCTGAGGCACTTTATCACATACTTTCTCAAGATCGATAAAAACCATATGAATGTATTTTTTTCTATCTATACTTTCCTATTACTCTCCTCAAAAGATAGATTGCTTCCATTATTGACCTACCAGACATAAATCCAAATTAATTCTCTGACACCTCTGTTATATCTCGCAATCAACGTTCTATCACTTTCTCCTACACTTTCATTATATGACGCATCAGCTTGATTCCTCTATAGTTATTGCAATTTTAGACATCTCCTTTATTTTTATAGATTGACACTTAATTACTCTTCCTCCACTCCTTTGGTATTTCCTAGTCAACAAAATCTTATTACATAACCTAGTCAAACAAAAAACAATGAATAACAAATAAAATTCATAAAAACCATTTCATACATAAAAACAAAAATTAAAAATTAAAAAAATAAAAACATAATGATGACAAGACAATAACACTCAAAAAGAAGAAGAAGAAGGAAGAGTCCTATTACACAACCAATACAAGAGTCCAACACCAAGGTCATTCAAGCAAAACAAATACTCCAACAGATATAAGAACGTAACGTCACAAAAATAGTACAAAGACTATTCAACCAAAACATAGGCACAAAAACATAGAAGAGAAAAAGCTAACCTCTAGAGAAAGTGATTTCCAGATTGCTTCAAATCAATTTAGCACTGAGCACATAGAGATCTTAAATAAGCTTTCACTAACACTGTACACAAAGATTGTCAGGCTCTACATATACAAGCAACTAAGTCTAAAGCAATACCAATATTACTTACACATATACATGTATATATATATTCATATTTTAACAAAAATTATCACAAATGTTCAAAAATTAGAGATAAAGAAATTGAAAATCACTCACGAATTTCATTTTCAGCTTATATTGTGAGCTTGATTGAAAAGCCCTAAATCTCTATTATTAGAATCATACAATTCGGAATTCGAATAGTACAATTCGATTCGACTAAGTAGGTAATCGATTCGAACAAGTTATGTCAATCACAAATAGCTATGAATCGTAGGTGAATCGAATCGGCGAATTGTGAATCGATTCGATTCGCTAAAATTGATGTTTGGCTTTCTTTTTTGATTTTTTATTGTTAGAAAATAGTTCACACAACCTTTTTAAGGTCTCTAGGGTTACTACATGTCAACTTTCTCTCTCCCTATTTATTCTCAAATACTCAAACCTTCCCAAAAAAAATGAACTTTGTCTCTCTACAATATTCTAGGCTTACATATTCAATTTTATCTAAGTACTTGCATTTACAAAATGAATTTTTTGAAGGTATCAAGTAAGATTTTTGAAAAGTTTGAAGATTTTGATTTTTTAACCTTGTAAAAAGTTAAAAACATTGTTATTGAGTTATTGTTACTTGAAAATTGAAAGTCTGTTGTTTGCTTCTTTTTTTTTATTAAGAACGGTTGATAAGAAATAGTATCTAAAAGTGAAAAGGTGAAGTGGTAAACATGGGAGCCAGTGTTAACTTCTTACCTAGACCATATGATCATCATTTAAAATAATATTTTTATTGATTTAAGTTCAAATATTTCATATTTATTAAATATATTTAATATCTGAATGTGTAGAAATATTTTCTATGTAATTAAAAAAATGTGACTAAATCTTTACGATTCACGATTCGATTCGATTTGCAATTCGGTACAATACCATTTTCGATTCAAGATTCAAATTCCGATTTGACAACTATGCCCTAAATCACAAACAATCAAACATGAGATGTTTCAGATGGAGCAGTGTTTTGAAAAGTGCGCCTAAGCGCACACCTAAGCTCGAGGCGAGGTAAGGCACAGCTCTGCGCCTCATGCATAGCGAGGCGAGGCGAGGCGGGGCGAGGCGAGGCGAAGTAGAGGAGGTGCAGTCGAGGCAATGAGGTGAGCGCTTTATGTTGAGGCTCGAGGCGAGCGCCTTATGCGCTTTGCGTTTCTTCCACTCCAATAGCCCATCTGGTTTTCTGTGTGGATACCCACATGGAATAAAATCTCATTTACAGTATAAAATGATCAAAATGTGGGTCATAAGAGCAAAAACATAAAAAAAAAAAAACCCTATTGGAGAAGAAGAAGAAGACGCGTCAATGCGATAGGAAGCATACACAACAACTAGGAAGGTTCTTCTCCTCTGGTTCGACTCTTCTTCTCTTCTCTCTCTTCTCTGCCTCTGTTTTACTCTTTTTTTTTTTTTTGCTTTATTCTTCTCTTTTCTCCTTTTTTTCTCTTCTCTCTCTTCTCTAGTTTTCTTCTCTGCCTCTGTTCTACTCTGTTTTTTTTTTTTTTCGCTTTACTTTTCTGGTCGTCGTCTCCTCTCTTCTCCTCTTCTTCTCTTCTCTCTCATTTTTGGTCTTTTTCTCTCTTTTTTTCTACGTTTTTTCTGCCTCTATTTGTTTTCTCCTCTATTCTGCTTCTCTTCTTCTCTTCTCTAGTGTTCTTCTCTTGCTTTGTTTTTTTCTCCTTTGTTCTTCTTAGTTTTCATGTCCTCTTGTTCATGTACTAAGAATGGTTGATGGTGAAGAAAAGCCTCCAATGGGATATATTTACAAGGCTACGGATGGGGCTAAAGAAGCTATTGCAAAGACATTTGATGGAAAGGAAGAGAAGTATAAACAGATCTTTGAAATCATTGATCAAAGGTGGGACATTCAATTGCATCGCCCTTTGAATGCTGTTGGGTTTTATTTAAATCCAAGTTTATTTTACAAAGATCCAAATGCTCCAAAGGACAAAGAAATCATGGCAGGCCTATATCAATGTATATCAAGGTTGATCCCAACGCTAGAGGTCCAAGATAAAGTTTGTGCAAAATTGGCTAAGCATGAGAAGGGCTGACGGACTTTTCAGATTCTTATGGCCATGAAGCACGGGTACTCAAAAAATGGTGCCATACGAGTACCACGTAGTAGGTACGAGTACACGTACAGGTACGGCTGCACGCGTATCGGGTACGGCCAAAGGGGGTCCAGTACGTTTGGTACATTTGGGTACGGCATGGGTACGCCGGGCAAAAAATCAAATTGCAAAGAGATTCAGGGTACCGAAGCAATTTTTTTATGTTCTTTATTAAAAAAAAAAAAAAATAGAGGGTTATTTTGTAATATTAAAAATATATACAAACCTGGTTTATCGGGGCATCATAATCTTCAATCTCAGTTCTTCCTTCGAATTCTCATCCCTGCCAGCGAGTTTCTTGAGAGCAAGACGGAGAGAGCCGACTAAGGGCTTAGGGGTCTCGGAGGGTTTGGAGTGAAAGATTTTGAGGGTGAGGAGGGAGTCGTGGAAAGGGAGAGAAAGGGGGAGGACGAAGTGCTTATTCCAGACGGGGGCGGGTGGAGCCAAAGTCGTCGGACTTGGTGGCGAGACGGCGATCTGAATCCACCTAGAAGATCACGTAGGGCTTCAGATCGTCGGACTTGTTGCCATTTCTGCTGGTGGGTTGGGTTGATTTGCTGTGAGAGAGAGAGAGAGAGAATGGTCCGGTGCTGCAATTGTCTTCGTTGGAAGGGGAAACTGGTATGGGAATTGGTAAAGGTCTCTTTCTTTTATTTACACCCTCTCTCTCTCTCTCTCTACAATATGATATAATTATACACTGACTTATCCTTTTGAATACACTGACTTATCCTTCTCTCTATACAATATAATATAATTATACACTGACTTATCCTTTTGAATACACTGACTTATCCTTTTGAAGGGAAAAAAAAATTATAAAAAAATAATAATAATTTAGAATTTCATTTTAATGATAAATCAAACTTTTAACTTTTAATTATTTTAATTTTAATTTTTAATTTTTAAAATGATATTAGTTATGACCATTTTTGTAGTTCTCTTTTTAGTTTTGATATTAAATTTTAATTTGTAGGTTAGATCTTTAACCACAATTATAAAAATAAAAATAAAAATTATCGACGTACCGCAACCGTACCCTTATCATACTTTTTTTGAGTTTTGACGTATCGACGTACCCGTACTCGTACCCGCACCCGTGCTCCATAGCCTATGGCAATTAGACAAAGAAGTACAAGGGTACCAAGTAATCATTTACAATGTTCTATTCTAGTATCCTTCTACTTCAAAATGTTTGCTAAGTGCTAACTAATTATCATGATCAGCTGATTGGTGTTGTTCTTTTGGTCATGAAACTCCTAATATGCAAAAATTTGCCATCAAAGTTCTTAGTCTTACTTGTAGTTCATCTGGCTGTGAGAGAAATGGGAGTGTGTTTGAACATGTGAGTACCCGTTGTCAAATCTATTAGTGAATTCCAAAAACAAATTCAGTTATATATGAATTTAAATGCCTTTTTATGTATTGTTGGAGCTTCACAACAAAAAAAGAAATAGGTTGGCTCAAAAATATCTCAATGATTTGGGGTTTGTGAAGTATAACAGAGAATTGAAGCATCGATACATGAAACGTGCCAATATTGATCCCATCTCTTTGAAAGATATTGATGAGAGCAATGAATGGTTGACTAGGAGGATGGAGAATTTGATGATGATTCTTTGGGCTGGGATGATGTTGTTGTAGCTGCTGGAGTTGAGGAGAGTAACCAAAGAACTAGATCAAGCACAACTAGGACAACACACCAACAACTTGCAGATGAAGAAGATGAATGGGAAGATGAAGATGAGGCTGAAGAGGATGATGTGGATGGATACAAATCCAATGAAAATGATGATGATGGAGGAGATGAAGTTCTTCATGATGATGATGATGATGTCTATTAAGTTTTGAGTATAATTATGCAACTATAAGACTTATATTTTTTAATTTCCTTTTTGAACCACAAGTTAGAAGCTTAGTTGTTTTGAAGTTTATGTGGATGTGAATGTGATACTTTATACTTTTTGTTGGATATTATATTTTTAATATACTACATATATTTGTTATTTAAAAAGTTTGCCTACTTTATAATTTTGCTTTGCTTTTACTACGCGTGCCTCGCGCTTAGGCTATAGGTGACCTTGTCGTCTCAGTGCGCTTGGAGACTTTTAAAACATTGACATGGAGGAAAGCTCAAATAGAAGAGATTAAAATCAACATAATATCGCATTAGGGCATGAACAATTAATAGCCTATATAGATATTTAAAGAATTGGACATTATAAATCACATCACCATTTAATTTCTAATATTTTATCATGTTTTAACTACATGACTTTCTTGAATGAAAAAATGCAAAAACCAAACATGAAAAGAAAGGCAACGGAAACACTTACCTTGGCAACTGCAGTAGCAACACCCCAACTGAATTAAAAGAATTGTTTACTCACTTGTCTGTTTTAACAAGAAACAGAGTAAATTATTCTCAAAACTCAAAAGAAAATGAAGAACGATAGAAAAGAAACAATAATAATATCACCAAAGCACCAGTAATTGAAGAATGCAAATTCATTTCCATGTGTTTGGTTAACAAGAAAACAAAAAAAAAAATAGCCTAGTTTAGGCTAAAATTCACAAAAAGACAAAAATAGGCTAAAATAGCAAATAAGACAAAATATCACATCAAATCAAACCCATAATCATTTCACTTTTTCTCTCACAAACATCATATCCAACCACAAAAAAATCCAATCATCTTCCCAAACACAAAAATTTTAGCCTACTAAAATAGCCAAAAACTAAAATAGCCTACTAAAATATCAACTTCCCAAACGAAGCCATAGAACAACATAAGAATGTGAAGCTATGAGCCTCTCTCACTTTCCCTTGAAAACATAAGTCTCCAAAACAACTAGGCCCAGTACTAAACACAAGATTCAAAACTTTGTTCCTTCACTTTTTATTTTTATTTTTTATGACCAAACAGAGAGAATAACATAACAGAAAGCAAAAGAAACCAAAAACCTTAGGTGTTCAGGCATGCTAAAATCACATTAATTTCTTGATTAGTTAATATTGATTATCTGTAATCTTGATCAGCCATCAAGATCCAATTTTTCATAATCTTTCATATACTTTTCTTGCATGCTGCAACTGTTGACTCAGATCTATATTCTCCTTCAATATATTAGTGTGTCTATATATCAAACAGAAGTAAGAACGAACAGATCGGAGTTCGTATATACAGATCTAAAAGTTACAGATCTGAACAAAAAACTTGCAAAATTGGCAATCAATTCAATATTTTTTAACTTCATATACACACATAATCATATCTTTTCAATAAATTAAAAAAAAAAATTGAATCAGAGAGTGAGACTCACGAAATCAGCCTTCAAACTCGGCCTGAAGGAGAAACCTAGAGACTTCAAAATAATCTGATGAAAGAGAGCAAAGCCAGAGAGAATTCGATCGAGCTAGAGAGTTATGAAAGAGGTGAGACCGTGAAATGATCGCTTCGAGATGGGTGAGAGATGCTAGTGTGAGACAGAAACGGAGCTTTGTACAGATGAAGCGTTACCAATTCAACTTCAAAACCGCGCCGTTTTACCTTTTTTTTAGGAGCTTAATTCCCTCTTTGGACAAGCCTTGTCATCTTACACTTTGATTTGGATATAGTGATTTTGTAAAAATGGTAAGAAGTAATTAGCAAATATATTTTGTTCTTTTTATGTTCTTTTGTAAAAATGGTAAGAAATAATAAGAAAATATATTTTATTCTTTTTATGTTCTGTAGGTAAGTTGGGTGAAAAATAATGATAAATGAGAAAAATTATGAGAAATGAAACTCTTTTATTTTATTGATTTTATTTCTGACAAAAAATAATGAGATCAGGTGAGAAATAATTTCAATGGTTGTGTCATTTTCATAATACTAAATCAATATTATCTAAATATGAATAAATAAAAATGAAATTTTACTCAGATCTCTATTATATTTTTACTTATCCAAATATAATAATGAAAAAGACAATTTTTTTTTTATTTTATTTTCTCACTTACATGAGATTCCACAATTTTCTTTTCTCCAAACCACGATCTAAACGGAGAAACTCATGAAATTATCAATCCAAACCCACCTCAAGTGAAGCTCGAGTTCATTTATATTTATATTTATAATGTGGATATAGTGATACATAGTTTGTTGCTACATGCACTCCTTGAAAAATGCATACTTGCAGTAGTAATCACAAATAAAATTAGAATTGCTTTTAGATTTATGAACTTAAAATGAAAATATTTAAATACTAACCATTTAAAAGAAAATAACTAAATTTTAGATATGACAGTTTAGATATAAACTTCAAAATTAAATTTGAAAACTTTATTTTGATAGATTTAAAATAATAATATAAAAATAAATGAGATAAAAGGAGATAAATTATAAGAGAGATATATTGAGGTGTTGTTTAATAAAACTGAATACTGAAAACTAAGTATTGAAAACTGAATGTTGAATTTTTTAAGATGAAAAGCTGTTTAACAAAAATTTAAGTGTTGAACTAATAATAAATTGTTTAATATGTATAAGATCAAATTTAAATTTGATTATTTTACAATATATTGTATATTTTAATTTTTATATTGTGGTGGTGGTGATAGTGGTGGTAACGGTATAATGGTGGTGGCAGCGGATGCATAGTGGTAGTGGTGGTAGCGATGGTAACTATAGTAAAATGATGACAGTACTTATGGCAACAATGACAATTGTGATGAAAGTGATTGTAGTAATGGTGGTGGCGGCATGATGGTGGTGGTAGTAGTGACGGTGGCTTGATGGTAGTGGTTGTGGTGGTAGTGATAGTGGTAAGAGTAGCGACGGTGGCGGTGGCGGTGGCGGCCAAGGTGGCAATGGCATGGTGGTTGTAGTGGTGGTGGTGGCCGTAGCAATAGTGGTTGTAATAGTGATGGTAACAGTAGTGATGGTGGTGATGGTAATGGTAGTGGGGGTGGTGGTAGCGGTAGTGGTGGTAAGTTTATAATAATTTATATCGATATTTATGTTTAGTATTTATAAATTTAGTCAAAATTAAATAAGTTTCATAGATTTTTTTTTTCTCCAATTTTAGCATACATTTTAAGAGACATTTAAATTTTTAAATGATATCAAGTATAATTATCAGACGGACTTAATTGATTATCACTTAATATATTTAATTTTAAGTGATGAATCATGTTATCAAACATTTCCTGATAAGAGGACTTATTAGGTTAAGAAGGACTAAGAGGTTAAAATCTCTTAAGAAAGACCTAACCTCAAATAATTCTATAATATAGGACTTGATATGCTTCTAGTGATATGATAGTTATAGATATTAATTTTGTATTGTAACGACGTATTACAACATTATGATGGTTAAGAGTAAGGTTTTAAAAACCGGCTGCAACCATTACATAACGTCGTTATGCAACAGTTGTGGTGGTTACCGTTACCTGTTACGGCTGCTATAGCGGTGTGACAAAAATTCACATATGTAACGGCCGTTTCGATATTATGTAATAGTCGTAACGATCCATCATATAGATTTTTTTTCTTTATAATTTATTTTTTAATTTTTATTTCATTACATTAGCATATAAAATTTAAAAAAAAAATTATAAATAGTGGTTGTATTTATTTTTATAATCATTTTAATTAATATTTAATTATAAATATTTTTTATTTTATTACTGTAATATATTGTCTAAACAATGTCTTTAAAAAAAAAAATTTTAAATCAGTAGCTCAAAAATAATTTTTGTATATGGTTTATTTTTACAATCATTTCATTTAATACTTATAGCAACATCACTTTTTAGCTTAAAAGTCAAAAAGTCACTAAAAAAAATCAAAAAGTCAACAACATATACCAAAAAGTCAAAGATTCAATTTTCTCTCTACTTTTTGCACATCTTTTCATAAAAAATCAAAAAATTATCCCAAACACACTAGTTTTTTTTACATCATATTTTAGCCAAAAAACTAAAAAGTTATTAAAAAAGTCTGTTCCCAAACGAGACCTTAATTGTAAATAATTTTATTTAGTTACCTATAAAGTGTTGTTTAAAAAAATACCTAAAAAATAATTTTTGTTTATAGCGTAATTTTATTTTTGTATCAGAGAACACTAAGTAGAGATTTATTTCTCAATACATGTAAAAACATTTTATTGTGTGGTTAAATACATTAGAATCTTGTCACTAATGTTGTATTGGTGATAATTATTTGCCCTTAAGGCCATAAATGTGTATTGTTGTAAGTTGGTGAGTATCAATGAAAAATAAAAAATCCTTTACGATTTGAGAATTGCACTTATGACCTAGACTGAGTCAACTAGCCTTATGGTCCAAGCATGAAAAATGTAGCATTTTGGCCTTAATAGATCAATGATTGACTGCGAGTCATCTGCCTAGCAATCGCTTGGTAAAAAGACTAGTCGATCGGTTTGCACTCAGGGAAAATGTTTGAGGGCCACAATTTTTGTGGCCACAATGGCTCAAAACTGCCAAAACGACGTCGTTTTGGGTGCAAAACATGCCAAAATGACGTCGTTTTAACAGTTTTGAGCCATTGTGGCCACAAAAATTGTGGCCCTCTAGCATTGTTGTTGCACTCAGTTTAACAAGATATTGGTATTGCTAGGTTGATTTGAGCTGGTTTTTTGGCTCTTTTATTCATACATTGTGATATTATGTTAAAATACATGGTGTATTTGGTAGTATAACAAAATCTCGTTTTGTTCCAAGTATGGTTAATGAAAATGAGAACTAAGTAGGAAATGATGAATTTAATTATCTAACAAGGCGGATTGGATAATTAGTGTGTGGTAATCACGTAATTGATTGGCAGACAACATAGGTTCGTGTGACGACCCCAACATGCATATCATTATTGCATCTATCTAATTATGAGAGATTTAAAGTTTTAAATGTGTGTTATGTGTTTAATTTGTATGTATATGTCTAAATCATAGAATATCTATTAGAATGCCTGTTTTGAATCAGAAATTGAAAGTTTAGATGAATTTAGAAACCGGAATTGGTGACTTTAATTAGTTTCATTTAATATTTAGAGCCTTTTGGAAAATTTAATTAAAATTTGATTCAGATTAAAAATAATTAGAAATAATCAATTAGATGCAAGTTAGATTAATTAGCCGTAAGTATACTTAATTAACCTAAGCTAATCTTACCTATTTTATATATGACTTAAGAAGAGATTAAGCTCATTTTTTTTCATCTTTTGAGCTGAGATTTTAGAGATTAAGAGAGAACAACTCTAGAGAGGGAGAGACAAGAAGAATGTTGGAGAGAAAAGGAAGAATTGAAGGGAAAAGTTTTGTATATCATCAAATTTAAGCTTAAGGTAAGAAATTGACCTCTAATTCTTGTACTTCACCTAACTAAGAGGTGTATTCATGATGAGAATTACGATTAAATAGGCAAATTTGTAGAATTAACTTGAAGATGATGAAAATTGACTTAGAATGAACATACATACATAATTCCACCATATTTCACTATCTTCAGCATGAATTCTACCATCTTCATTGGATTTAAAGTTAAATTGCATCCATACCTTTGAATTTGAGAAGTTTGAAGGTTTGAGTTCATGAATTTTAAGAACCAAGCGCATAGTTTGAGAATTGTGAAGAAATGAGTTCAAAACTCCTCATGCATGGAGGTTTTGTTTACTATTTGTCAAATTCATGGAGTTTTAAATCTATGGTTTCAAATTAGGTATATTTCCATGCTTTACAAAGCATTTCTAAGTGTTTGGACCAGCCATGTGTGATAACCATGTTCCGTATTATGCTAATTGATCCTTATTATGAATATGATTATGTATTTGATATGATTTTGTGTGCCATTTATGTGAAAATATGTGGTTTTGAATTTTTATCTGTTCACCGTAGGAATATCTGTTTGATTATCTACTTTGGAATTTAAATTGAAGGCCTTATCGGCCATAGAAACCGAAATTGACTACGCCATTGTGATTGGCATAATTTTTAGAGCCTACCGTGAAATTTAATTGAAAATTGATTTGGATCAGATTAATTAGATTAAATTAATGATATAGTGCCCAATTATTTAACATTGATAAAAGTAATTAGGGGAACTTATATAAAAGGAGCACTAATACACTCAACTCCTCTCTTTTTATTCATTTGGCTGATATTAACTCTAAGAAAAGAGAGAGAGGGTTGGCTAGAGAGAGAGAGAGGGAAACAATTGAAGTTTGATCTTGAAGCTTGAATAATTTGAAGACCAACTCAAGATTTGACCATAAATTGGGAAGATTGAGCTTCTAGGTGAGTAATTAATTATGAATTCATGAGTTTAATGTTGTAAGTTTGTGAATTCAAAGTTGAATGGTGATCAAGAACAAGGATTGTGTTGTATTTGATGAATTTGAAGTCAATAGATTCATGCATGAAAGATATTGCTATGAATTTCCATGTTTGAGCATAATGTGTGTAATCCATGTTGAATTTCGATTAAAGTCCATGTATTTGATCATCTCTTCACCAACTAAGTTGAGAGTAATGAG